CATTTGACCCCCAAAGGGGTTGCAACACACAGGTTGAGAACCGCCGTTCTTAGAAGAGGAAACTATGTAGACAGAGAGGCCTGGCCATTCCAGACATTGCAGGCTTCCCAGGTAAGACACTGGACACAAGATCGAAGCCATCCCAGGTCATCCGGCACCAGCTGAGGAGGCCCAGACCAGAAAACCAGCCAGCCAGCAGACAAAATCAGGCAAACTAAAGCATGGATATTTTAAACCATTACACAGTGGGTGGTTTGTCATGCAGCAAAAGCTAATTGATACACTGGGTTTGCCACTTCTATACCCTCCGCTTGTCATGCTCCCTTGTCAGAGTCCCCATCTTAGTGACCTCACTGGATCCGTGTTCGTCTAGGGCCCTATCTTGCTTTGCCAGCTCTCTCATCCTTACCGCCCCACAGAACTAGTTCTCCCTGAGAACTCCAGTCCAATGTCCAGTCCAGTTATAAAGACTTTTTGGCTTTAAAAAAAAATCTATCATCTCCATCTAGTCCCATCACAACTCAGAAATTGGTATCATTCTCCCCACTTCTAAGAAGAAATAACTGAAGCTCAGAGAGGTTGACAGACATACCAAAGTCACACGGTCAGTCTGTGAATCTTCTGACTCCAACCCCCTCATTCTTTCTTCTTCATCTCACGTGGCTCAGTTCACACTCTCCCTGCATATTCCTTTCAGCTGGCAGAAGTTCCCATTGGTAACAATTTTTTAGAATTTCTGGATGTCACCTGCCTTGGATTCCTCACCTTGTCCTTGCCTGCTGTGAAAACACCTGCTGCTGGATCCATGTCAGCCCTCCCAGATGCTGACAAGCAGCCCCGGCAGGTGGCCACCTGCTATCTCATCCATCCACCTGGACTTATGATCTGCCTACCAGATTTGACTTTCTTCCAAAGCCTTTACCCCTCTGGGCTTGGCCCCTCAGGGCCTGTACCTCCCTGATTGTAGATCTGCCCAGCCTGGCCCCTCCTACACTGTCTGCTACATCCCAAGAGAGGACAGTCAAGCCCAGTGCCACAAGGTTAAGGGTAAGGTCAACAGCTTTCACATGTAGTTCCAACCTGGTTCCTTTCCTTGGCCAGGAGAACCAAGTTTTTGCAGCTGGGTTTTTGATCAAAGTGCTTTATCTATTAGGTTAGAAATCTATGGATACATGATCATTAAAATTGGTGAGAAGGAAAAAGTAGGTCCTCTTGTCCAAAGCAAGTCATAGTCAAGCCCAGATAGAAGACTGGAGAGAGAAACTCTATTTCAATGAAAATCGTGGCAAGGTTACATTGCAAAGGGTCACCAATACAGGAGGGACTTAAGGCTTTTTTTTAAATGAGCTCCAGAAGGCCTTTATGGGCACTCACTTCTTTTTTGTTTCACAACCAAATGGAGAAGAATCAGAAGAGGCACTGGATTTTCTTATTCCATCAGTCTCTTTTTGGGGACCTCAGAGTTGAGAAATGTCCACCCTATACCTTCTGTTGTATTCTGTGCATCCGGAACCTTACCAAGAATTTCTCAGGGGAAAGTTCTGATTACCCTATCCCCAAAAACATTTCTAGAAAACAGTTTACTTACAGTCTGATATAGCACAGTGATTATCTTCCAATTAGGCTTTCCTGTGAGGTCCCAGGACCAGGGTATTTCAGGGCCCAGGGAGAGGAAGATAGACTTGGGCTCCACCAGGAGAATGACAAACTACCCAGCAGTTGAATGCCCCAGTGCTGTGCCTGGTACACAGTAATAGATATTTGTTGAATAGATGAATGAATGAGTGAATGAATGAGGGAGAGAGCCATGCAGCCAGTAGTTTCACCATCTTACTGTAGAGACAACAGCTAATATGACCCAGAAGTGATCTAATAAACCTAACTCTGAAGTCAGCTTGGGGACGTTACAGATGCTGAGGTTCAAAATTGTGCACGGTCAGCAACTCCATTGCCAAGTGTCCGCCCTGGAGAAACCCTCACACATATGCAGGAGCAGATGGCCATGAGGATGCTCACTGTAGCACACTATCCTTAAGAAAATGAGCAACAACATACTTGCCTCTCAGTAGAACCAATAAATAAACAGGGCTCTATTCATATACATATCATACAACAGTTAAAATGAATCTTTCTCTCTCTATCTACATCTATACTCAGGTCAACAACTCTCCTACTTGTATACACTAGAAATGTCAAAAACAGAAGCTGCTTACGCTACCATTCCATTTATGTAAAGTTTAAAAATGTGCATAACAAGAGACTATCCTTTATAGCTAACGGATAGTCTGCCCAGTAGTTACCTGTGGGAAGGGAACATAGTGGAAAAGAGGAAGGGGGAAGTGTTTCTTAAAAAGAAAGAAAAAAGGCTCAGTGCCAGTAGCACAGTAGTTACGGCGCCAGCCACATTGAGGCTGGTGGGTTCGAACCCAGCCAAGGCCTACTAAAAAACAATGACAACTGCAACAAAAAATAGCTGGGCATTGTGTCAGGCGCCTGTAGTTTCCACTACGTGGGAGGCTGAGGCAAGAGAATTGCTTAAGCCCAAGAGTTTGAGGTTGCTATGAGCTGTGATGCCACAGCACTCTACCAAGGGTGACAGTGAGAATCTGTCTTAAAAAAAAAAAAAAAGAACCAAAGCAAACTTGGCCAGTATTACGCCAGCACCACAGAGATGGATACTTAGGTATTTGTTATATTATTTTCTATATTCTTTTTGTATTTATTCATTCAACAAATATCCAGTGAGTACTTACTACATACCAGGCAGTGTTTTAGGCTCTGGGGACACAGTAGGAAACTAGACAAACATTCTTGCCCTCATGGAGCTAACATTCTCTATGTTTGAAACATGCATAATTCCTTGTTTTAGTGTCTATTTATGTGTGTATGTGTATGTGTATATATATATATATATATATAGAGAGAGAGAGAGAGAGAGAGAGGGAGAGAAAGAGAGAGAGATAGGGTCTTGCTACGTTTCCCAGGCTGGACTCAAATTTTTGAGCTCAAGTTATCCTTCTGCCTCAGCCTCCTGAGTAGCTGGGATTACAGGCATGCTTATTTTTTTTTTGTTTTGAGACAAGAGTCTCACTTTGTCACTCTTGGAAGAGTGCCATGGCCTCATAGCTCATAGCAACCTCAAACTCTTGGGCTCGAGTGATTCTCTTGCCTCAGCCTGCCTAGTAGCTGGACTACAGGAACCTCCCACAACACTCAGCTATTTAAGAGACAGGGTCTCGCTCTGGCTCAGGCTGGTCTCAGACCTGTGAGCTCAGGCAATCCATCTGCCTCGGCCTCCCTGAGTGCTAGGATTACAGGTATAAGCCACCGCATCCAGCCCACTTATTTTTAATAAATGAGTAGAATCCTCAAGCAATGAGTGAAAAGCAACCTGCCTTTCTCCAATCTCCTTCAATCGGCTCAGTTTTCTACTCCCCAGAACTTCCCACTATTGACCTTCTCGGCCTTTTTATCTTCTGTTGTTAACAGCTTCCTCAAGTCTTCAACCATTCCATAGATGACAACATGACCAGGCTGCATCCCCAGGACAAGCATCCCACCCCTGCTCCTTCCCTCCAGTGGGACTTGGTCCTCCCCCACATCCACACCTCATGCCAGGCTGGCCACAGCCATCTTGTGATACAGGGGTCCCACCCTGTAGAAAACCCACCTGGTACAATCTAGCTGTACCATCTTCTTCCCTGACTTTGCCATTATTCCTGACTTCCTGGTCACCCCCATCATCACGCACAGAAGATCCTGGGGACTGCCTCAGCCTTCTCCCTTCCCCAATGCCTACCATAACCCCAGACTCCAATGCCACTGTCACACCACTGCTTAAAAATCACAGAGGCCCCATCAACCCATGGATGGATTAATAAAATGAGGTATATGTACCATGGAATACTATTCAGCCATAAAAAGAAATGGAGACTTTACATCTTTTGTATTTATCTGTATGGATTTGGAGAACATTCTCCTTGGTAAAATATCTTAAGAATGGCAAAGCAAACACCCTATGTATGTCCTCAATACTAATTTGAAACTAGTAGATGAACAACTACAGGCCCATGAAAGAAAAACATAATTTAATTCAAGAAGTGGGGAGGGGATTTGGTAGGCTCCCACCTAACAGGTACAGTGTAGGGGTATATGGCACACCTCCCAGGTAAAGGACTCAGCTACAACTCAGACTTTATCTAATAAATACAAACAATGTAACCTAATTATGTGTACCTTAATACCCTTATATTAATCTGAAATAAAAAAGAAAAATAATATAGGCTCCTTGATGCTCACAGGAGGATGCCCAGGGCCCCAGACACAGCCCCCAGTACCCCCCAGACCTTCCAGCCTCTACACAGCTCACTCTCCCTGTCTCACATCTGTGGCTGCAGCCTTGCACCAGCACTTACAGCCCAACTCTTCCTCACCTGTGTCCTTCTCTCCAGATCTTCCTATAAACCAGAACACCCTCTCCTTCCTCCTCATTCTTCCACACTCAGCTCCAGTGGCCCTTCCTCCAGGAAGCCTTCCCTGCCTACCCTGGGCTAGGTTAGGCACCTATTCCCAAAATGCCTAGTATATCTGATTCTATCATTGTAATCACCAAATTGTCATATAATTTTCTGTTTTAATGAGTACTTCCCCCACCTGAAATGTGGCAGGTGACCTGAAAATGACATCTTCACAGAATAGTCAAAGGCAGAGGGATAGGCAGGACAAACTCTGGACAGTCCACTGCACAGGCATGCTAGGCCCCACCAGTCATGCCCTCCAAAACCAACTGGCCATGTACTCACCAGCCAGGTGTGGGAGCAGCCCCTCCACCGGCAGCCACTGAGGCTGATCACCTGGGCATGATGCTGTTCCACATACCCCTTCAGGGGGCCTCTTATGCCACATGCCTCATACCCAGGGGCTCCTGTAGCTACACTCCATCCCCTATTGTACCTCCCCAAGCACAATGCTATTGTGCCCACCTCCCTGGAACACTGTACCTTAGCCAGGGATCTTACTATGGGACTTTCCATAATGCCTCGAAGGAAGATCAGGTCCAGCTCCGCAGCCCCCGTGGCATTGGGGAGGGATCCCAGGTTGTCCAGGACTTGCTGCATGGCTGGGGGGAAGGGGTGGGCAGTGAGACACATGAGTACCACCAACTGGGCTCAAAGACTCAAACACCCAGCACCTCTTCCTCCCTTTCCCACCCCCATGTCCCACAGAAGACAGCCCCTCCCCCGCAGCATGTTCCTCTCTGCCCAGCACAGGTACCCTAGGCCTGGAACTGTGGCCCTAGGGAGAGAGAGGCAGTTTCCCTGGCCTGTTCTTTCTACTCTAGGTAATGCCAGCCTGGGGAGGTGAGAGGCTCCAGGCAACAGGAAAGGACCTAGGTGTAGGGGGAGAGGAAAAAGGAAAGCAAGTGTCAGGCTCCAAGTTCTGCCCAGCACCAAAGATCTACAGGTTCCTCACTCAACCTCTAGATGGGCTGAAGCCACAGGATTAAGACCCCTGCACCTGGCAGGTTCAGGGATGAGAGAGACAGCTTGTAACATGCCTCTCAGTACACAGGAGGCCAGGCTTTGTGCAGCTTCCAATCTAAGTCCCACTACTAATTCAGTGTGACATTGTACACTGCCACTCACTGGCCTCAGTCTTTCCAGCCTGGGTGGGTTGGACTAGACAATATCTAAAGATCCTTCAGCTCTGACAGAAATTATCTATGATCATTGAGAAATTAACAAGGATGACAGGAAGGCAAAAATGAGGCTCAGAACATTGGCAGGAGCTGGGGAAACAGGCACCAGGGGCCTGGGATGGAACATAACCAGGGACATGAGAACACATGCAGGGCCACAGCAATGGCCCCAAGAGCTGAGGTGAGAGCAGCCTTCATGCACTGGCAGAGGTGGGAGCTCCAGGCTGTGGCAGGTTCTGGGGGAAGGAAGAAAGAAGTAGAGAGTGCCCAGCTGGGGGCAGAGATAGCAAGGGGTATCATTACTCTGCCACCCTGCCACCCACAACTACATCTATATAACAGCACCCAAGCCATGGAGGAGGAGGGTAGATACAGTCCCTGGTACCTCTCAATGCTCTTGTCAGTGCTCCCCTCCTCCAAGAAGGAATGAGGGTGGAGAGGAGGGACTGAAACTCCAGCTGGCAGAGATGATTCAGGGGCTCCTGGACTCCCATCTCCTTCCCCTCTTCTCCCCACCTTCTCCAGAAACAACATCTAAGCCTATCATGCAAAGCCCTCAGTGGCTGAAAGAGGTCAGAGTAGGGAACATTTCCCACTCTGTCAGTGTATACTGAGATTCGCCCTTCGCAGTCTGCCAGTTACAGGAGAGCAGGACTGAGTTAGGGAAGTTGGTGCCGTCTGCCCAGGCCAGCTCTCCTAGAGGATCATGCCCCTAAATCCCTCTGGTTCCTGGAGCACCCTCCCCAAATGCCCCAAACCGTTCTAGAGGAGGTTAACAGGTTACGGAGGGTAGGTTAAGGAGCCAGCTTCTCCAGTCCCCGCCCCGCCTGCCTTTCCCTACCTTCCCTCCGCAGCTCCGCTTCCTCAGAGGAACCCAGGGATATACCCTCCAAAGAGGCCCAGCTGCCTGGGCTGCCTGCCATGGCACCCCCAGCCCTGGGCTCCAAGAGCAGCTCCCACACCGCGGTCCGCCAGATCCCTAGCCAGAGGGGAGCACAGCTATAGAGAAGGCGGGCCTCGGGGAACGCCCTCTGCACAGTCAGCCAATAGCAAGGCTCAGCTGCGGTGGCCGCCTTACTGATTGGCCAAGGCCCCAGACAGGCGCTACCCGGTGGGGAACGTGCGGCAACAGAGGTGGGAGAAAGGTGGTGGGAAAGAGAGTCCTCATCCTTCAGATGAGCCAATCCCCAGATCCTAGTGTTTTAGTGCCTGTGGGGGTGTGCAGGGGGCAGCTAAGAAACAGTTTAGGAGGGAAGGTATAAGCCCGAAACACCCTACACGACCGGTCTGGCGCCCAGCGATGCTCCCCTCAAAGCCAGCTACAGGAAACCAGGCAGAAAGAGGGTTTGGGTCTCATCTTGTATCTGCCCCCTCTTTTCTGGAAGTCCTTCCTCTAATACACCCATGCCACCTCCTCCTTGTGCCCTCTGACCTCTGCTATCTGTCTCCTCTGCAGGCCCTGTTTCCTTTACAACTCCTTCAGTAAAACGAAGTCCCTAAGAACGACTCTGTCCTCAAGGTATCAGGAAGCGGTATCACTACTATGACTTGGTGCTAATACCTCAAGCCTCAAATGCCTCCCCCTACCTGCCAGCCCCCTATCCACAGGGAAAAGTGGGGTATATGGGGGAGGTGACAGCACTGTGGGCAGGTGAATGTCCTTCTGACCCCTCATCTCCCATTAACTTGGACCCTTGGCAAAGGGGGTGATGTCTGGGAAGCAAGTCAGCCACTTTGGAACTGGGGAAAGGAAAAGGTGAGGGCACATTTATACAGCGGAGAAAAGGGTAGGCAGGAGGGAGGGACTTGGCACCAGTGCAGTCCCCCTATTCCTCCAAGACCCTGTACCCATGAGGCCACCACAAGGGTGCTGCAGCCACCAGTCAGCCATTCCCTGAGGAGTGGCACCAGGTCGCACTGCACCCCTGGTTGCCATGGCATCAGGATTACACACCAGGACAGTAACCAGGGATGCAAGAAAGATTTAAAGGAACAGCTCTACCTGAAAGCAGCTCCCCCTACCCCTGCTGTCCCAGCCTTGATTCTGGTGGGGGAGGGAGGATGCAAGTCAGAAGACACCAGGGGCAAGATCTCTAAACTCTGAGCTCCTGTCATCACTTAAAGCTCTCCCAACCCATCTCAACCCTCAGGAAAAGAGCCCCTCACTTTACTCAAAATAGAGTTGGAGGTATCTCTGCAAGAGGAATTGACCCTCCCTCCAAATAACACCATTCCCCTCCCTCCAAATAACCATATTGATCCAGTAACCCAGGGAGAAGGGTGGAAGAAGGACCTTGCTAGCTTCACCCTCTTTAGGGTCCAAGGCAGGGATCTCCCAGGGAAGGAGGAATGGGGGAGGAGCCTGACCTCAGAGGCAGGGGCACAGCTGTCTCTCTGTCCTGTGAAGGTTAATGACCACCAATGATAAAAAAACAGAATCACTATGAGATTTTTGAGGCTGAGTGCTAAAACAGCCCAGAGTGGGGCAGAAGCTGCCCAAGGAAAGAAAAGCACTCGTATTTCTCTGGATATAGGAAACCATTAGCAGCACCTAGCACATCACCATGGGAGCAGGAGCCCCTTAGGTCTCCATACTCACACCTCTAGACTCCCCTCCCTGCCCTGTCCCCCTCACCCTCCACACCCCTAGCAAGTGACCTGAAGCAGAGAAGTCAAATCACTGGGCCTGCTCCTCCCTCTCCACCCCAGCCAGGCACTATTAATGGGTTTACTGGGCAGGCCCAGATTGGGAGGCCTTTAATCATAGGCTCAGGGATGGCTTTAATTAACCCCTAAGCAGCTTATAGTGGGGCCCAGGCAAGGGGATAGCCCAGCGGGCCCAGCAGACTGGACACGAGATGGAGGCACTGAGCCCTCCAATGCTACAGAAGCTGGGGGACACTGACACAATCTCCCCACAACATGGAGAAGGAGATTTTCCTCAGGGACAAGGGTGTCACAGTTTAGGCTCAGACTCACTCACAGCAGCCTTCTCTTTCTTGGAAGAAAGAAATTAGGAAGTCATTCTAACCAAAATGAGGAGGCTGAGACCTCTTGCAGAGGCAGCAGCAGGGCTAGACCAAGGGAAGGAGCTGCACGGGAGAAAGGCACCTTGGCAGGGGAAGCTTAGACAACTCAGAGCAAAACCATAGCAGTTGACAGCTGCTAGGGCACTTTGAGAGTCTCTAGCACAGGGAACTTAACCTGATGGGTCCCTGAATGCACTTAAGGGGGTCCATGAACCCCTCAAATGGAATGCAGAGTTCATGCATGAGAGCATGTGTTCATGATGAGGGCCCATGTCTGCCATCAGATTTTAAAAGCTAAAAACATCAATCTTGTCTCATCATCTCACCTTAGGGATAATTCAGGTCCTCAAAGGAAGGTGACTGACTTAAGACCACAGGGTTAATGACAAAACAGCAACTCAGCAGCAGTAGCAATATAATAATGGTGACTATTCATAACAGTGACATGTTTTCCTCTTTGAATCTCTTTCCAGAAGAGGAAATGCAACTTGCTCCTGGGTCTTTCCTAGCTTGTCTGAATGGCCCACTCCCTTGCCCCAAAGCCTCCTATAGAGCCATGTCCAGGGATGCTGACCTGGTCTTCTTGGCCCTTTAGTCACAGCTTGCTGTGTTCCAGCTATGGCACATGCTGGTCCAATGAGTACTACACCATGAACTTCCCAGCCCCAGCTTGTGCTATTTTCTCTCCATCCTCAGCCAACCTCCAAGGCCCAGCTCCCAGGCCTCCAGCCTGGCCTCATGCCATTGCCCTCCCACAGTCATGTGGATGATCTTGGGATTATGCATCCCCCAGCCCTCCACTAAAGTGCTGGTGCTGCGCCTCCAGCCCTACCCTGGAGCACGTGTGGGTCTTATTCCTCCTCTACTCTGTCCCAGAGCAGGGACCCACACAAAGGAGATGGCCACAGAAGCTGCAGGAATGAATGTCTGAGTGGGTGGAGCAGGGTGGGGGGCAGCTTGTTCTTACCTGGAGCTGTGCGAGTGCCTGACTGTTGCTCCCCCACCCCACATTCTCACCTGGCACCCTCTGACCCCCTGAAACAAGCTGATATCCTCTTCGCTGCCTTCTTACCAGACTCAGAGTTAGTGGCGGCGACTGGCATGGTGAGGTAGGCAAGGGCTCTGTAGAGTCTCTCCTGGAGTGGGAAGAGAGGAAGCGGGGAGAGAAGAAGATGATAGAATGCAAGGACAAAGCTATGGGCATGGGAAAAGAAAGCTTCCCCCCCCCCAGAACAGCCAACAAAGTAGGGGGAAGGGCACTGCCCACAAGCTGGGGGATGGGTAGTAATAAAGATCCCAGCAGTCCTGGACAGAGGAGCTCGATATTACAGGAGCAGGAGACCAAGGAGTATCAGGGGGTTAATTGATTTGCCCAAGGTCACAAAGCTACTAAAAAGAGCTACAATACATACCCAGGTTTTATGACTCAAAAAAAAAAAATAGTGTTTCTGCCTGCTTGCTCTATCTCTTTCTTTCTTTTTGAAGAGGGAATTGGTAGGTAGGAGTCCAGAATTTGAGTCAAAAGCAGGAAATTTGAGTGTTCCCAGAGTGTTCTATAAGTTCCAGAGCACAAGGAGCACCTTCATTTAATTTACCTCTGGAACCCAGGCAAATGCTCCACAACATCTGTCTGCCTGGCTGACAGAAAGGACATCCTACCTCTTAAGTCCTCTCTTGCTTCTTCTCTCTCCCCTCTCCCCTTCTTAGGCCAGAGCTGGAACAAGGAAAACAGGGGTTCTGAGCAGTACCCAGCAAGGAGTGTACAACCCCCAGCTCACATCCAAGGGCCTCCCCAAGCTAGGGTGGCTCCCCCATTCTCCCAGGAGAGGGTGAGGGGTTTACACCCCACCCTTCCTCCCTTTGCTTTCCTGGGTATGTGCTGCTGGCTAAAACCCTAATTCTCAGTTGCCATGACAACAGGAGGCAGCGGCTCACAGCAGGGGTGGGGAAGTGGGGGGAGCATCTGGCAGTGCCCACTTTAGGACAGAATGTTGCTGGGGGGGGGGCGTAGCAACCTCACCTCTTCCCCAAAAGGAGCTTCTTCCTAGAGGGACTGCTACCTGATTCCAAAAAATCTGTAGTCTGTTCCAATCCCCTTCCACACCTGAGCTGGTGATCTGAACTCAAGTGGCAGGACTTGCAAAGGTGAAGGAGCTGGCTCCCCTTCCTCCTGGATCTGGCCCCTAAGGACAAGGAAGAAAGGGGCTTTGGAGTGGGGGAGGATACTCCCTCTCAGGCTTGCACCTAAGATGGAAAAAATGCCCAGGATCCGCTCTGCCAGCCAGTGTTCCAGGTGCCAATCCCTCCTGTCCCCATTCTTAGAGAGCAGTGGAGAGAGATCTTTTCCTTCCCCTTCCTAGGTCCTGATGACCTGAAACCTAGGGCCTTCTAGTTGACCCTGCTCTCTCACTTGGAGGTATCTACAGGGTTAGAGAAGAAAGTCTAGGAGTCCTCTTCCCCTATAGAGAGTAGGGTAGGAAGAGGCAGAGAGGATCCTGTATAGAATCCCTAAGCCAAGAAGTGTTGGCCAGCCTGCCTGGGTTTCTCCCTGGGGAATCGTTTCCCAGCTCCGCATCGCCACCCCCCGCCCCAGTCTCTGAGAGGGCGGGGGCCGGCAGTGCCCACAGGAGAACGGCAGTGCCAGGCTAGCGGGCCTGGCTCCGTGCCAAGATCCAGGGCCCAGACATCTAGGAACTCGCATGTCGGTTTCCAAAAGCCTGGGCCCAGGTGTCCTCTCTCCTCTGCCTGCAAGCTGTCTACATCTCCCAGAGTGTCCGTCGGTAATGCGCCAGCTGTGAAAGGGGGAGGTTTCCTCTAACCTCTCACCCACCCTCTACCAAAACACGTACAAAGAGGTGTGAAGAATGGTCTAACAAAGGCGCTTTGCAGACCGACAGGTCCTGGGGAGAGCTGGACAGAACTAAGGGCTAGAGGATGGGGTCTACAGGCCCGGC